GATTTCGAGCACAATATTCAATAGGAGTGGTGACAAAGGACATCCTTGTCTGGTTCCTGTTCACAGAGGGAAGGCTTTCAGTTTCTCTCCATTGAGAGTAATGTAGGCTGTTGGCTTTGTATATAGATCCATAGGGTTTTAAATAGCTGAATTTTGGAAGTAGATTGCCAGGCCATTCTTCCTGCTCTGTACTACCCTGGGAGCTCCACTAAAATATTTTCAACTGCAACAGATAAGGGGGCTTCATAAAGTTCATGGAAAAATCCATTATCTTTTAATTCCATTCTTCTAAAAAAATTTGAAGCCCCTCATGCATGCCTCCATGGATAGAGGAATGGCGGCTTCAAATGAGATGAATTGGCTAGGAATTGAACCTGGGTCTCCTGCATGGAAGGTCAGAACTGTATCATTGGACCACCATTAAAGACTCCGAATTGTATGGGCACACTGACAATAGATTGCATATAGAACACATGGAAGTTTCTGGGGCTTTGTGGTGAAGTTTTTAACTCTCTGGAGACATTGAGTCTTTTGAACTGGGAACATCAGTCACAGTGAGGCCAAGAAGAGGTCCCTGTGGGGGAACATAGAAGACTCTTTTTTAGTGAAAATGACCAACTCAAGTGAAAAGCCATATAGCCAATCATCTGCCCTGAAACCATAGTTAGAGAAGTTCTGTCCACCTGTTCCAAGTCCTGGCCAGCCTTTTGGGCCCTGAGACTTGCATTTGAATAGTCCGTAGGGGATACATGATTAAATCAATTATAAAAGAAAATCTCCAGGAATTTGACATGAATGTTAATGGATTGAATTATATTCTCCCCACCCTCAAAAGTGCTGGCATTCTTTCTAATTGAGGAGAATACAGTTGAATCCTTGTATTCTTTGCAAGTTCCCCTTGCAATAATAATTTCTTTTAGAAAAATCAGCACAAGACTTGTCCTTGTGAGGTGGAGGTTAAAGACATCCCAAATGTCCAGCTATCTTGACGTGCTATTTTGTTGTTGCTGTTAAGTGCCATCAAGTGGGTTTCCTCCCGACTCATAGCGACCCTGTATAGGGGTTCTGAGGAGTGGCTGGTGAGTTTGAACTGCTGACCTTGTGGTTCAAACCAACCTTGCCGTCTAGTGTATTATCCTGCAGCGCCATGCCAAGATAATTCCTGATATCAACCACTGCCCCACCCCTCGGTATTCTCCCCAATATCCAGGTTTCCACAGTTCATAGCAACTTTTCAGAACGCACTGACTGTCAAGGAAATGACTCACGTGGTTGTGGAGGCTGGCAAGTCCCAAATCTTCAGTTCAGATGTCAGTCTGGAGGACTCACCTTACTCACACAGAATCGGGTTGTTGATTTACAAGGCTATGGAAGCTGGCAACTCAGGTCAGACCTCTGCCTCAAGTCCCAAGAACTGGGGTCAGATGGAGATGTGCTTGATTAATTAAGGAAAGCATCGTACAGCCCACTCACGTCAGCAAGATGTCTCATTTGACACCCATGCCGGTTTCAGGCTTTTACACTCACAATGAACTCTGTTGAGGTTGACTGCTGAGCCATGCCATCCTTTCAGCATCTTCTGTTGCCTTTTCTCGCCCAGACTCATCAGGAAAAGAGTTGTTCGGTGGGAGTTACAAAGACTAAGACTAGAAGAGACATATTAAATAATTCACTACATCACATCCCTCTACTTGTGGATGTAATCTTTTGCTATTTTCTCAGTATTCTTTTCAAAATCTTAGTCATCCTTGGTGTTGTTGTTAAATGTAGCAAGTCAGTTCCGACTCAAAGTGATCCTATGGAGGGTTTCCCAAGGAGCAGCTGGTGGGTTTGAACTGCTAACCTTGCAGTTAGCAGTTCAGTGCTTATCCCTACAGCTCCACACCAGGACCATTGTGTGTTTGGGTGACAACGAAATGGTATCTCACTGTGGTTTTGATTTCCGTCTCTTTGATGGCTAATGGTACTGAGGCTGTTTCCATATGTTTGGTGGTAGCTCTGGTAGCGTAGTGGTTACGAATCGGGCTGCGAACCTTAAGGTCAGCGGTTCAAAACTACCAGCCGCTCCGCGGGAGAAAGATGAGGCTTTCTACTCCCGTAAAGATTTACACCCTCGGAAACCCTGTACAGGGTCGCTATGGGTCGGACCCGACTCGATGGCACTTAACAACAACAACAACAACATTGGTGAAATATCTAGTCAAGTCATTTGGCCATTTTATGATTGGGTTATTTGTCTGTTTGTTGTTAAGTTGTTAAAGGTTTATATCTATTTTGATTGTTAGATTCTTGTTGAATATATAGTTTCTGAAGATATTCTCCTAGTTGGTAACTTGTCTTTTTATGTTTTTTGGTGAAGTTTTTTGATGAACCAAAGTTTTTACCTTTTATGAGGTCCCATTTATTTATTTTGTCTTTTGCTGTTTGTGTTTTTTTGGAGGGTGTGTGTGATGATTATGGTTAGGACTAGGGTAAGTGTTAGGAGTAAGGCTTTGTCTAGTTTTGGAGTTATAGTTGGGTATTTATCTATTTTATTCTTGAAATCCACATTATTTCCTTTCCATTTGAAAGTTCTATAAATACATTATTCCCTCTTTTTACTTTAATTTTTTTGTCGCTGTTGCAAATTGTTATCTTTGTCTCCCTATAGACTGCAAAGTCAGTTTGTATCACAAGGTCGTTGGTTCAAACTCATCAACTGCTCCTTGGAAACCCTACACAGGGTTGCTAGGAGTTGGAAGTGACTCGACGACACTCAATAACAACAACAAAAACAGCAGGTTTGTTTTCCTTTGAATACTTCTATATCTGGGCTAAGGAGCTCTGATAATCTATTGGGTTACAAACTGGGCTGCTAATCACAACTGTGGAGTCGGTTCTGACCCTGTACAAGGTTTCCAAGGCTATAAATCTTTATGGAAGCAGAAAGCCTCTTCTTTCTCCCGCGGAACAGATGGTAGTTATGAACTGCTGACTGTGAGATTAGTAGCCTGATTCGTAACCACTATGCAACCAGAGCTCCTTGGGAAGAGACTAGTAGACGTAGTTTCTATTCTATGGTCACTCACAAGCTTTTAAGATTCCATTTGCTACTCACCAAAGTAGAGCATTATCTTTATGGATTATGTTATTCCAGATGACCTAGATGCCCCCCCCACCCCCAAGACTATGGTCCTAAGCTTTTTTTTGGAAACTTTTTATTGTGAATTGAGTGAATGTTTACTGAGACAATCATCAGTTTTATACTCAACAAATCATACCCTTTGTTTCATTTCAACGATTGTAATCCCCTTCATTTAACAGTGGTTAGTTATCCCACTGCCTCCCTATGATTCCTATTCCATTGCACCCTCTTTCCCATTCCTTCTCAACTTTGGCCTTGGGTAAATATTGCCCTTTTGATCTTGAATGGTTGATATTGACCATTCCATGGTGAGCATAACCTAATGTTGTTGTCCTCACCCCCCGTCCCTCCATATACCTATCTACTTCTTGGCTGAAAATTGGGCCACAGGGTTTCAGACCTGAAGAGTGACTGAGGATCATAGTCTCAGGTTCCTCCAGTCTCTTTCTGACCAGTAGGCAGGGTCTTTAAAAATAATTTTGAGTTTTGTTCCATGTTTTCTCCCACTCTATTTGGAACCTTTTAATGTGGTCCCTTACAGAGCAGTTGGTAGGGCTAGCTGGGCACCATCTAGTTCTTCTGGTCTCAGAGTTATGGTGACTGCTGCTCGTGTGATCCATTGGTCAACAGAACTAGTTGATTCTAAGCATCCTCAGTTTTCATCACTCCTCTTTCTTCCATACATGGAGAGACTTGTGGTCCTAAGTCTTTGAGAGGGAGTATCCTCTTTGCAAAAGCATTTCCTTTTTTTAAAAAAGGGAAAAGAATCCTCTAGAAAAATTGATAGGATTATTTACCTTTTGAGGTATCACTTACATTATTTATTTATTTATTTGTTTTTTTTTTTCATTTACATTTGATAAAATAAAAAAATTATAAGGGTATATAATTTAGTGAGTTTTTACGTACATACATAGACAAAACACAAAATACATTTCCAACTCTTCAGAAAGTTCTCTTGTATTCCTTCCAGTCACTACCCCACAAAAAAACCACTTCTAACACTTTTAAGTCTACATTAATTTAGCAGATTCTTGAACTTGATAAAACGCAACAGCATGTACTCTTTTCTGTATAGCTTCTTTTTAGTCAACATGACAGACTCAGGAGAGTTATGATTATTTTCTTGTTTGTCCTTATCTTCAGAGTTCTTACAATGGGAAAATAGGACTGTAATTTAGCTTATTATTATTTTTCGTAAATAATATATTTTAAAAATAGTAGCAATACCTGCCAATTACATAAAATATAGCTCCCACCCCTCCCCCCCCAAGAAGAAAAAGAACTTTAAAAATCAGGAACTATATAAAGAACAGGGTCCTGGTGTGGCGCTCTAGGATAAACACGGTGAGGTTGGCAGTTCAAACCCACTAGCCACTCCTGGGAAGCCCTACACAGGGTTGCTGAGTCGGAACCAACTCAGTGGCACTTCACAACAACATACAAAGAGTATAATCTCATATATAATTCATGGGGTCACACAGAGATGTATGCTGTCCCAAAGCTGGCAAGGTAGCCCCCATTTCCTCTTTACCCCCATAGACCCAGGGGGTCCGTACATCCTGACAGAAACAGGGCCCAGAGGCAACCCCAGACAAGGCAGGGACATAGGTATCTCAGGGACCTGCTAGGGTGGCACCAAAGACAGAGACCCAGAGATCTCCCTGTGCTTGGGAGGATCTCTGACTACAGCCATTCTAGACTGAGCAGCCCAGTCTGGGAGGGACTGTGTGTGGGCTGGAGTCAGTGGGAGGAGGAAAGAGCCTGAGCATTTTTGCTTAGCCTTGAGCTGGGCTTAAAAGCTTCTTCCTCAGGCTCCAGGGCCAGAGTCACCCCAGCAAGCCCTGCTATAGTGAAGCTGTATTGTGGGGACAGTATGCTGGCCAGGGGGCTCCACCGACACTCAGTCCTAGTCAAAGGTTGCAAGCCCTTCCTGAGTGCCCTGCTGGAGAGTTCAGGGCATCCCAGGATGTCTACTGGCGAAGGAGCCAGCAGCGTGCACATTCAGAGCCCACGCCCCTTCAGTGAGATCCCAACTTCGGGTGAAAATGCCTGGGTGAACCTGTACAATTTCTGGAGGAAGAAGGGCATACACAAACTCCACTATCGTAACGTCCAGAATTTCCAGAAGTTTGGTCCCATATACAGGTAAGTCTGTCAGAAGCTGGCTCCCCAACCCCAGGCTCCTTGTCCTTCTGATTTGATCTCTTCCGGGCATGGGAAAGGTGGCAGATAAGGAACAAGCTTCTCAGTCTTTGGGTCAGTTCTTAGCCCCTAGATCTCAATCCTCCCTAGACCTCCACTCTTTGAAACTTTATGGGGGTGATAAAAGAACAAACACTTCTCAGTACCCACCTGACAGCTACTGTCCTTGGGACATCGGGAAAAGCAGTTTATTACCCCCACTCTCAGGAGGAGACTGGGGCTTAGAGAGGTTAGAACTGCTGTCCTCACCCCTAAATTCTGTGCCAAGCTCACAGTGGCTTCGGGAGCTGCTCCAGGAAGGATGATTTTGTCACTTTCCCAAGCATCTGCCTTGTTTCCTGACCCAGAGGGGGCTTTGTTCTCTTGGCCTCTGACCTGGCTGTTGTACTGGGTAGGAGGTCTCACACCCTGTTCCAGCAATTTCTAAGATGACTCTCCTTTGAGCCACACCTGGGTTCCATTCAGACGGCACAGTTAGAAGGACAGGAGATGGCAGAGGTGGTAGGTGGAGATGGGGATGGGAGATGAGTAGGGGCAGAGCATTTGCTTCAAGTGAAAGGGCCTTTATCACCTCAATTCTGATGGGACATTAGGGAAGCATATGGAATGAGCAGAGTACAGGGAGCTTGGAAGGGCACGGAGACGGAAAGTGGTCTGGGAGGGCAGCTTTTTTTGGGTCTAGCTGCTCACTCCTCAGGGTCACTCTCCTGTACACAATCGCCTTTGAAGTCTAAACTGGAGTCTTTTTTACAACAGGAGGACATGGGGTGGGGTGTGGGTGAGGGTCTGAGGATGGGGTTGCCCAGTGCTTGGACTTGGGAGAAAATTGCTTTTGAATTTCTCCCTCCTCCTCCATCTCCTAGACCCATAGATACCTCTGTCCCCAATCTCCTTTATGGTAGTCTCTGTTTCCTGCTTCCTGCCCTCACCTTTTTCCTCCCGTTCCTAGCCTCCATCCCTAAATAGGAACACGGATGCTTTTTCATTTTCCCTAGCCCCTTTCTGTTTTCTGAGTCATGTTCACCTGAGCCTTGCAACATGTCCGTGACATCAGTGTTCTTAGCCCCTCCCAACTAGTTGCCGTCAGGGTGTCGGAGTTTCAATGGTTGATTTTCCAGAGGTAGATCGCCAAGACCTTTCTTCTGAAGTGCCTCTAGGCGGACTCAAACCTCCAACCTGTTTGTTTGCAGCTACGCATGTTAACTGTTTGCACCGCTGTACCACCTTGGGACTCCTAGCTCCATCTTACAGATTGGGGATATTCAGGCCCAAGGAGGAGAAAGGTCTTACCAAGGCCACACAGCTCTGTAGGTCAAAATTAAATCTGGGACCCAAATTGTTTGACTTCTAGTCCTTGTTCCTGGGTTGACCATGACACTGTAACTTAGTTTGGAAAATGATACACTCTGGATAAATGTGAGGAATTTAAATAAAATTTTTGTGTTCTTCCCCCCTGTAATACAAAAGGCTAACATAAAGTAGGGATCAACAGAACTGGGTAGTGGAGGGGCTTGGGCAGCCCTTTTGTGCTACCCTCTTGCCATCTGGTGGGGAGAACCATTTAGAAAATACAAATACAAATCAAGAACTGAAATCATGGACAATCTCAAGTTGGATCCTATTAATGTACCTTTAAGAATGTGAACATTTTATATATGCTGTTTGGTGTTGTCCAACATTCTATTGTGGACTTCTTTTCTTTTTCTCTTAACATAATTTTTAAAGGAAGATACTGTTCCATAGTATGAATGAACTGGATTTTCTGTCAGTTCTTTCAAGTCAGTGTTCAGCCCACCTTCATGCCACTAGCGGACGTGATGCTGTTGCACACCTTCCTGTCTCTGGCACGGCTGCCTAACAGGCAGATCATTGCCTGGGGCTAGCGTTCCAGAAGCGGGTTTGAGCATAATGATGGCAGTTCAAGGACTATGCTGAGCTGAAGTGGGTGTGAAGGGTGTCATGGAGCTCTGATTAGTGGTGACTGGGAAGTCACTGAGGGAACTTTCTGGAAGCCATGGACAAGAGAAAGCCTGAGGGACTTGGGAAGGCAAGCCAAGATTTTATGAGTTAGTGAGTAATGCAGCTCTCAAAAAATACACACACTCTCTCTTCTCATTATCACATATACCACACACTTGGCTTGTACCTGATATTTTGCCTTAAAGTGTATCTTGAATTAACTTTCTTATGCAAAGGGTGGAAATCTTGAATTGGAATTTTCTGTTGTTTCACAACGTTTGCATTTTAACAGACTGTCTGCAAACCACATGGTCAGGTATAGCTAAAGTAGGGCCTGATGTTTGACCATAGTTTCATGTTAACAGAAACAAAGTCGTTTGTCTGGTGTCTGACCCTTGGGGACAAGGTGGCCACTCCTAGAATTTCAGTCCACGAGTGTAGAAGGGGTTGGCTGGCCTGGTGGGTGGCCTTCCTGGTGAGCTGGTTGCATGATGGCATTCCAGTGATGACATGCCAAGTGTGCCAGGCTTCTGAGCTGCACGGGGCTGGTGGGGAGGGGGTGAGGTGAGGACACAGGATGAGTGGGCATGGGACACAGAATTTGAAGGCACAAGAAAGGCTCTGGAGTGGGGTTGATCTTGCAATAAGCACAAAAAGGATGATAAGAAAGCTGTTGTTTACAGGGTCTTGAGCAAGTACCCCAACTGTAAACCACATCATTCTGTCCTTCAGCCTCCTTGTGAGATAGGTACTGTGCGTTGTTGTTGTTAAGTGCTGTCGAGTTGTTTCTGATTCATAGCAACCCTGTATAGGGTTTTCGAGGAGTGGCTGGTGAGTTTGGACGACTAACCTTGATGTTCAAACAGACCTTGTGGTCCAGTGCTTATCCTATAGCACCATACCAGGACTCCAAGTACTATATGAGGAGGCTTCAAAAAGCTCATGGAAAAATGGAATTAGAAGATAATGGAATTTCCCCTTTTAGAAGCCCCCCTCGTATTTAGAAGTCCCCTCATATTTATCTCCACGTTATAGGAAAGAAACTAACAACTTAGAGGGGTTAAGGTTCTCGTCTCAGGTTACACAGCGAGTAAGCTGTGAGATCCACACCCGGATCTTGAGACTCTGCAGCAAGCTCCCTTAACCAGCACGTGGTCATGCAGAGACCCCTTACCCAGGATCTCCATAGCTCTCTTTGGGTCTTATGTCACATCTTCTGTCCCCAAACCCTATAGGGAGAAGCTTGGCAACTTGGACTCGATTTTTATCATCAACCCTGAAGATGTGGGCCTTCTTTTTAAGTCTGAGGGTCCCACCCCAGAACGCTTACTCGTCTCACCCTGGGTTGCCTATCACCAGCACTACAACAAACCCATAGGGATCCTTTTCAAGTGAGTTCTGGGCTATCTTCCAGGGGATGGATGGAGATGAAGGGAGGGCAGGGTCCAAGCTTGTCCCTGCCCTTTTTGACTGGAACCTCCAGGTAAATTCCTGTCATTCTCCTGCATTGGTAGAACAATAATGGGGATGCCAGTTAAACTTCAGGCACCTGGTGAGGCTGAAGATCTTAATGGACAAAAAGAGACCTGGTAAAGTTCTCGTGTATTGGTATATTCATTATGTCTCACCTTACTGAGAACCTACTATGCACCAGGCCTTGTACAAGGGCTAGGGATACAATGATAAGTAGGGAAAGGCCTTACCACCTCGAGTCCCTCGAGTTAAGAGAAACATGTATTTAAGCATAGTGTATTTAATACATTGCCACTCAGTTCCTAATCAACATTTTAAATCAAGTGCTGGAACGTTTATACGTTACTGCCATCAGTTGCTGTCAACTCCAACTCACGGAGACCCCATCTATGTCAGAGTACAACTGTGCTCCGTGGGGCTTTCAGTGGATAATATTTTGGGAGTTGAATGCCAGGCCTTTCCTGTGAGGTACTTCTGGGTGGACTTGAACTTCCAGCCTTTCAGTTAGCAACTGAGTATGTTATTTCTTTGTACCACTCAGAGACTCTGATACATTACTAGTGCGCTTGCAAACTGGTGCAACCACTTTGGAAAATGGTTGGAGGTTATCTCCTAAGGTTGAACACTCACATACCTATGATCACGTCTGCTCTCAAGAATCTATTCCAAAGAAATTCTCGCATATGTGCTCAAGGGGACAAGTGCTAGAATGTTTTCAGGAGTGCTGTTCATATTAGCAAAAGCCAGGAAAATACCTAAATGCTCAACTGGAGCATATGTGAATAAACCAGGATATGCATTTGTCTAAATGAATGGACTCAATGTTCCACAACAGCATGGATGATACCTAGAAATAGAAAATTGAGGTAGGCAAATGGGTGGTACTGTCAAGTTCCTTGTTTTCCTGTTGGGTGGAGAGTTTAGAATAACGTTCTTAAAACCACCACCATCTCCCCCATCAACAACAATAACAAACTCTAGAACAACAGGGGCTTTGTATAGATCAATTTTCAGCAGAGACTATAAACCCAGGATTATGATTAACCTCATTCTAGGCACCTGGGATCCTCCCACCAAAAGGAATGGTGGCACATGTGAAGGCAGAGGAAAAAATGTAGGTCATAAAAGGTGACACAGAGGAGTTTCTGAATAGCAACCCGTGGACACAGGCCAGGAGGAAGGGAGGGCTGGCAGCTCTGTCAAAGACTGGTGTGCCTGAAAGTCCCTAAGTCTTAGAAGAAGGTAACTTTCTGGTCTGCAGCAGCATCAGGGAAAGTGGCAGCTCAGGATTAGTTCTCCTTCACCCTCTTTCTTCCTGTCCCTGCTTCCAGGTTGGGTGGGAGCAGGGAGGATGTGATGGGTAGGTAGGGCAGGGACCCTCATGTGAGTGCTGGACACTCAGAGTTGAGTCTTGGCATCTTGGAAGAGGCCCTCTGTGTTTGCCAGGCCTGGGGACTGTGACCAGGAAAACCTGAGGGTTGTGTCTTTTCAGGAAGTCGGAAGACTGGAAGAGAGAACGGATAACCCTGAACCAGGAGTTGATGGCTCTGGAGGCCACGAAGAACTTTATACCCCTGCTCGATGCAGTGTCTCAAGACTTTGTCAGCCTCTTGCATAGGCGCATCAATCAGCAGGGCCTTGGGAAGTACTCAGGGCCCATCATCGATGACCTGTTCCGCTTTGCCTTTGAGTGTAAGGGGTTTGCCCCTTGTCAGTCAGCGGGTCTGGGGGTGGGAGAACTCAGTGTTGAATCTTCTATTTTGAGACCCAGGACAGACCTTGTAGAAGTGCTGGGGTTGGCTTCTGGGGTGAGCTGTTGAACAAACACATCCTCCACCATTGGCTACCCAGGGGTAGCTACCTTCGGCTACCCAGAGGTTAAGCCGTATAGCCAGTGGAACAGTATATGCAAAGGACCTGTGACTTGATTGTTGTTGTTGTTAAATGCCATGGAGTATATCCTGTCCCATAGCGACCCTGTATAAGGTTTCCAAAGAGCAACTGATGAGCTTGAACTGCCGACCTTGACATTCAAACTGACTTTGCAGTCCAGCACATTAACCCACACTTGTGGCTTAATAGATTTGGGGTTGCCTGGAATTTGGTATGGAATCAGGAGTCAAGGCATTTGGGGAAATTATGGGTTTGCTGTGACTACTTAGATCTGGACAGATTGAGTTCTGGATGGCTAGTTACCCAAGGATTTATGTTTCCCAGAATCCCATGAGAATGGCTTCAGGATGTGGCCAGTTCAGCTATTTACAGAAATAAATCTCTCTTCCAAAAGGAAAGCCCAGAGGCTGATTGAGGGTGCTGCTGAAAGGATGAGGGTTGCAGTTTTACCCTGGCCTGGGAGACCCTGCTTCCCACCCAAGTGACCGCCTTTTAGGGTTGTCCACAGGCTCCTCTAAAGAGCCTGGATGGGTGCCGAAAAGACAACGTTCCTCATCCTTACCTTTTAGTTTCTTTATGGAAACGAAACAAGAGATGGTGTGTCTTGTCTCTGCGTGCTGTGAGTGTTGTGTGTTGTGCACGTAATGTGTTTGTGTGTGCAGGAGCTGGAGAATCTTTGTGAGCTAAGCTCTGTAGTGATCTTTGCTTCCTTCCACAGCCATTACCAACGTCATCTTTGGGGAGCGCTTGGGGATGCTGCAAGAGATCGTAGATCCTGAGGCCCAGAGGTTCATAAATGCCGTATACAAGATGTTCCAAACCAGCACCCCCATGCTCAACTTCCCCCCGGACCTGTTCCGCCTGCTCAGGACCAAGACCTGGAGGGACCACGCGGCCTCATGGGAGGTGATTTTCAATAAAGGTGAGGGTCCTTTAGCTATATTCTGGGCAGCCAAGGAGTGTGAGCTGGGAACCCTCTCTACCTCAGTGAGTAGGAACCCAGGCATTGAGGAGGCAGAGAAAGCCAGCTGGAGGACCCAGGTCTGGTCCTGCCTCTTTGTCCTGTGTATGGTGATGCAGTAGTTAAATGCTCAGCCGCTAACGAAAAGGTTTGAACCCACTAGCTAGCTCTTTCTTGGTTGAAAGATGTGGCAGTCTGCTTCCTTAAGGATTGATAAGGTTGGAAACCCTTTGGTTTATTGTCGTATAGGGTGGCTATGAGTCAGAATCAACTCAGGGACAGTGGGTTTGTATCAACAGCACTGACATGCTATGTAGGTCACCTATCCCCCAGTGGGCAGGAATGGATGTCAGGAGGGTCTCAGAGCCTCCTGGAAGTGGTGGCCCATTGCTGGCTGTTAGAATGATTCGATTTTTCTGGCGAAAGAGGATCATTCCTCAAAGGGGCCTGTGCTTTCCATGGGGTTAAAGGTCAGTGTCTCAGACACAGCTGCGCTTGGTAACAGGAAATGGGGATTTGGGTGAGAGAGATTGGGAGTCTGGGGGCAGAAGGTTGACTAGTGGCATTGAAGTAGAATCAAATTCTGTCTCTGCTCCTTACACCCATGTGACTAACCTCCCTGGGCCTTGATTTCCTTATCTGTACAGTGGTGATGATGTCACTCACCCCAGAGAGTTGTGATCAAGAATTAAATGAAAAAGCAAATAGGATGACAGGACAGAAAAAGCACTCAGTAAAATGACAGCTGGGAAAGCAGAGGACTCCACAGAGACAGATGTCTTTCTCTCCAACCTCGAGGAAACCTCACTCTTTGTTCTCTCCTCTTGCTCTCACCCCTCAGCTGAACAATACACCCAGAACTTCTACTGGAACTTGAAAAAAAAAAGAGTCATCAACAATTACCCCAGCATCCTCCTCGGCCTCGTGGAGAATACCAAGATGTCCTTCGACAACATCAAAGCCAACATCACAGAGCTGCTGGCGGGTGGAGTTGACACAGTGAGCTTGCTGTTTGCAGCTTGTTGGTTACAGGCTGCCCTGGCACCTGCCACCCTGCTACGACGAGAGTTCTATGCTTATGTGATACATAGCCCACTCTTGGCTCTATATTCTACCGAGTCCTGGCTGCCCAAAGGTTAAGTGCTTAGCTGCTTTCCAAAATCTTGGGGATCCAAACCCACCTCATGGCTCTCCAGGGACAGGCCTGTTACTATGTTGTCATGACTACCTATGGGGGTCACCACAACAATTCCCCAGGAACTACCTGAAAACCTACGGAGCTCAGTACTACCTTGGTACACTTCGTAGGAGTGTGAGGTCTATGTCAGGTCCCTGTGGAGTACGATTGGAGAAAGGCCAGCATTTGGGAAGGCCCGAGCTTTCAGTAGAGTCTTTAAGAGAAGTAAGATTCCCTGGGAGGCATGCTGGAAGTCCAGCAGCAGGACTCTGTCCTCCCAGTCACGAGCCTAGAGTCTCTGAGTGAAGACACAGCTCACTCAGGGTGTGGGAAGAAGGCAGGACCTCATAAAAAGTGGAGGCTAGAGGAATTTGCCCCAGACTCTGCCACTCAATGCCCCAGTACCCCATGGTGCCCGATTAGTGTCCTGTGGCTGCTGTAACAACAATAGAAATTTATTCCCTCTGAGTTCTGGAGGAGGCCTGAAGATCAAAGTCAAAGTGGTGTCAGGATTTGCTCCCTCAGAAGTCTCAAGAAGAAACTCCTTCCTTGCCTTTTCCAGCTTTTGATGACGTTAGACATTTCTTGGCTTTTGGCTGCAAACTCCAATCTCTGCTTCCGTTTTCACATGGCCCTTTTCTTTGTTTCTGTGTCTTTCCTCTTCTTTCTTTTATAAAAGGACACTAGTCTTTGGATCTAGGGTTCACTTGAGTCATCCAGGATGATCTCATCTTGAGATCCTTCATTTATCTCCAAAGACCCCTTTTCCCAAATCAGCTCACATGGAGATGGTTAGATTTTCCTGGAGAGAGAGAATCCTCTAAGGAGTTCATGATCCCCCCAGGAGTTTGGGACCAATGTTTGGGGATTAGGATGTGGACATATCTTTCTTTGGGGGTCACCTTTGAACCCACTCTAGGGCTTGATGCCCTAATGACATCAATTGTGGCATCTTTCTTCACAGATGGCACCAATATCATGAAAGTTCTCTTTTTGAATGTCACTTTCACTGTCTTGTGTACCATTCTTTTACCAGTTTCCGACACTTTTCCAGGTTAATGTGATGCACCAGGTGTCTTGGGGCAATTCATGGTGACCCCATGTGTTCAGAGTAGAACTGTGCTCCACAGGGTTTTCAATGACTGACTTTTCAGAAATAGATCACCAGGGTTCTGAGACACCTCTGGGTGGATTCAAACCTCCAACCTTTTGGTTAGCAGCCAAGCACGCTAACTGTTTGTACCACTCAGGGACTCTCCATCTAGTCAATTTCAACTCATAGTGACACTGTATAAGGTTTCTGAGACTATGGAAGCAGAAAGCCTCATCTTTCTCCCATGGAGTGGCTGGTGGGCTTGAACTGCTGACCTTGCGGTTATCAGTCCATTGCTTATCCCATAGCACCACCAACATGCATGATAATGTGATTTGTTGTTGTTGGCAAGTGTCATTGAGTCGGAACCTACTCAACCCTGTATAGGGTTTCTGAGGAGCAGCTGGTGAGCTTGAACCTCCAACCTTGTGGTTCAAAGCCACCTTGCAGTCCAGTGCATTAACCCACAGCGCCACACCAGGACTCCTGATAATGTGATGTTGTTGTTGTTGTTATTATTATGTGCTGTAGAGTAGGTTCCGACTCATAGCAACCCTGCACAGGGTTTCCGAGGCTGCAAATCTTTACGGGAGCAGAAAGCCTCATCTTTCTCCTGTGAAACAGCTAGTAGTTTCGAACTGCTGACCCTGAGGTTAGCAGCCCGATTCATAACCACTCTGCTACCAGAGCTCCTTGCTAATGTGATAGTGAGGGTTAAATTATTTAGATTAGTGTTTATTGATTATTAATTATGGTTTAGGCATTGTGACTTCCTCACTCGCTGTGACCCTATAGAAAAGAGTAGAATTGCTTCATGGGATTTCCAAGGCTGCAAATATTTAAAGGAACAGACAGCCTTATCTTTCTCCTGTAGAATAGCTGGTAGGTTTGAGCCACTGACCTAGTGGTTAGTAGCCTAATGCTTAACCCACAGTGCCACCAGGGCCCCAAGACTCTTGTTGTTAAGTGCTATTAAGTCAGTTCCACCTCGCAGCGACCCTGTTAGGTACAATTTAGAACTCAATGTTTTTATACTGCTCAGAGAACAAGCCAGGGATGTAAACGGTAAGTACTACCCACGTTGTAAAATGATGAAAGAGGCATGTACTAAAATCCCACTGTCACTGGGTCGATTCTGACCCCTAGAGACCCTTTAGGACATAGTAGAACTGCCTCACAGCGTTTCCAAGGTGGTAAATCATTTTCAAGGCTGCCACAGCTTTCTCCTTTAGAGCAGCTGGTGGGTTCAAACCATCGACCTTTCAGCTAGCAGATGAGCACTTAACCACTGTGCCATCATGGCTAGGTGCTAACAAAGCAGAGGGGTGGGGAGGATCTTGCAGGTAAGGGAGTATGTTCTATAAAGGAGCTAAAATCCAATTTGTTTCTTGACAGATGAGGCTAGGTAGGAGGAGAGCGAGGGAATAGCATTTCAGGGCTAGGTGGAAGCATGTGTCCAAGGCCGTTGGGTTAGCAACTCTCCTTCCTAGATGACATATTCGTATTATGCTCTAGTGGAAGAATATTGACACCTGTGACAGGTTGCAGGTGGAGATTTTTAAAAGTTTATTTTAGACGTAGTTCGTTGTCAGAAGAGACGGCCAGAAAATGCCTGCTCCCAACATGCTATTACTATAGGTGATGGTGTGTCACCAAGACGGTTCTGACCCATAGCTACCCTGTATAGGGTTTCTGAGCCTGTAAATCTTTTTTTAAATGTTTTATTGTGAATTATGTGATAGTTTACATGGGAGAACGTTAGTTTTACATTCATCCTATCGTATATCATTTCATTGCTATGGTTACAATCCCCTCCATGTATCATCAACCAACCAAGCCTGCACCCCAGTCATCAGCACACAGCCCCTCTCCCTCTCTGTGTCTAAAGTCCCCAACTGCTCCATCGCTCCATGTCATCACCTCTGCCTCCATCTCAGGCATCACTGCTTCTCTCTGTAAGTATGGGAACAGAAAGTCTCATAAAGAGTCTCTCTTGGAGCAACTGGTAGATTCGAACTGCTGACTTGTGGTTAGCAGCCCAGCTGGTAATCCACTACACTGCTAGGCTCCTTACTATTATTGTTGTTGTTGTTGTTAGGTGCCATCAAGTTGGTACCAACTCAGAGCGACCCTATGCACAACAGAACGAAACACTGCCCAGTCCTGGGCCAACCTCACAATCATTGCTACATTTGCATGAATGTAGCAACTATCACTACTAGGTAAATTTTATTGAGTTTATACTACATGGCAGGCAGGGTCTTAGTTTTTTACACGTGTTATTGTGGTTAGGTGCTATTGTATGGGCTCCAGCTTACAGAGACCATATGTATAGAATGAAACATTGCCTGATGCTGTTCCATCTCTGACCTTCAAGATGTTTGAATGCATAGCTGAAGCTATTATGTAAGTTCACCTCAGTGAGAGTTTTTACCTACATTATGTGGTCCTTGCTGCTGCCGTTAAGTGTGGTCAGGTTGGTACTTACTCATAGCAACCCTGTATAGGGTTTCTGAGGAGTGGCTGGTGGGTGGAACCACCAACCTTGTGATGAACAGTTCAGTGCTTATCCTACAGTGTCATACCAGGACATTAATGTTGTCCTTGATTTTGTTTTTCTTGTCCTTGCTTTTTAGATGAGAAAACAGATGCACAGAGAGGTTAAGTAACTTGATCAAGGTCACACAGTTAAGAACTTGCCTTATTAAACAGTTATCTCCTGAGTACCTCCTCTGTGTCAGGCTTTGGAAAATACATTTAGTAGGAGTTTTGAAGAAGGAGAACATGCTTGCCTCCAAGGTGGAGCATAATTCCAGGAAGCGGAAAGATCTGGTGGCATGCGGAAGATTTCTGGGCTTTGGGAACTGCGTGTGGCTCAGAGTGGCTAGAGCCTCAGGTGCACATTGGAGAGAGGGGAAAGAGAGAGCTGGAGGAGCAGCAAGCAAGGACCAGGTGTTGAGGGTCCTCTGAACTTCATCTAGGGTCCAGACAAGGACTTTAAGCGAGGACATGACTGGTCATGCACTGGGAAGAAGGAGGACATCCAAGGGTTTTGGACAGAAAATGTGACCCATAGTAAGATAATGTGTCAATAATCCAGGTTCTAGCTTTGTTCGTTTCCCAGGGGGAGGTGCTGTCCTAAGCTGGGGTCCCATTGAGAAATCTGAGACAACTTCGGGGTGTGATGAGGATCATTCATACCTCCAGCAAAGGATTTAAATCACAACTTCTGGCTTTAAATATGAGGGAATTTAAAGTTCATGGGAAAACATTCCATTTTCTCTTAACTCCAAGTTTTCATGAAATTTTTAAAGCCCCCTTGCAGTGACACGAGTTGGTTAATATTGGTACCTATTGTAGTTGTTGTTAAGTGCTATTGAGTTGGTTTAGACTCATAGTGACTCTGTACAGGCTTTCCAAGGGGCAGGTGGTGGGTTTGAACAGCAAACCTTGTGGTTGCTAATTGCAACACAGATAGAAAACAGGTCTGTGTTTAAGCTGTGCGGATACAGGTAAACCCCGGAGTCCTGGGATGGCGCTGTACGATAGGCATGGTACAGCTAACCACAAGGTCGGCAGTTCAAACTCACCAGTGGCTCCTCAGAAACCCTGTACAGGGTCTCTGTGAGTCAGAACTGATTCCATGGCACTTAACAACAACATGTTTAGCAGGGGGTGGTTGTTTAACAAGACATGCTAAAGGAATGATGGGGTCATTCAAAAGCACAGCCTTGAAAGCCATAGGATTTGGTCTCTCAAGGCCCTTGGAGTTCTTGGGGGAGGTGGCATTGGCTGTGTACATGATACTCTCTGGACTGGGGTGGGTTGGGTGAGTTCTAGTGACATGAAGGCTGGGGGCAGGGACAAGTGCTGACTCAAACATTCCTACACAGGGTGACAGGATGGCTTCTTGTGCCTTTGCTTTTTGCTGAATTATGCTTTGCTTTTGCTGATGGTGGTCTTTGGAGACTGGGAGGAGGAGTGGGGGTGGGTGGGTAGTTGGTTGAAAGGGAAGATTTAGCATTCCAAAGAGCCAAAGGAGTGACAGGCCTTCCTGGCCTTCTGTGTCTGGGCCCGTGTTAGACATCCATGACGCTGCAGTGGAACCTGTATGAGATGGCCCGGAACCTGAGGGTGCAGGAGGCACTGCGAGCAGAGGTCCTGGCTGCCCGGCGCCAGGCCAATGGAGACATGAACGTGATGCTCAAGTCGGTTCCTCTCCTTAAAGCCAGCATTAAGGAGACACTGAGGCAAGTCCACATTCACCTGAGCACCTCACCCTCACAACCAATCTCCTTTCACCCCCGCCCGGGCAGGGGTCATGGGGAAAGGTTACCATGATGAGCTGGTGGAGGAGACTGGAAGTGGGAAATGAGAGGTCTGGGGGAAACAGCTGGGATAGGAGAGGAGACCATGGATTCCTCACCCTGCCTCCAGATTCCCTGGTGCTGCAGCTGGGTGAAGGGGTGGGTGCACAGACTGAGGGCCCTCCTCCCGCAGACTCCACCCCATTGCCGTGACCCTGCAGCGATACCTTGTAAAGGACATGGTTATTCGTGACTACAAGATTCCTGCTAAGGTAGGTGCAACCCAGCCTGCAGGTCCTGCCAGGCGGACAGAGGAGCCTGGATGCCTGCAAATGCAGACAGGTGGGAGTGCTGGGGCTTTGTTCTGCTGTTCTCCCTGGAGCTGGGACCCTCAGTGGCTGGAGTCTGAGCTTTGAATGAGAAGTAGGGGGGATGGAATCATTGGGGAGTAACCCCTGAAATACTGTGGGATTCCAGAGAGAGCCCACAGGTGGTCTGGGTCTCAGGACCTCTGGGACTGAATAAAGGGCAGGACAATCCCTTGGACCATTTGCAGACTTTTGTCTTCAGTCACCTCAGGATCCTAGAGGACCTGGGGTTAAGGACACCATTGACATTTGATGGATGAGGCTCAGGGAGGGTCTTGCTCTAGGTCATAGTGGGCAGAGTCTCCTGTCCTGGGATGCTGGACAGTCATTTTGGATGAGGAAGGGAGAGGAGGGGAGGGTGGTCCTTATACTCCTCAGGCCTCTGTCTATCCCTCCCCAGACACTAGTGCAGGTAGCCACCTTTGCCATGGGCCGGGACCCCACTATCTTCTCCAACCCGGAGTCTTTTGACCCAACCCGATGGCTGAGCAAAGACAAGGGCATCACCTACTTCCGGAGCCTGGGCTTTGGCTGGGGTGCACGGCAGTGTGTGGGCCGGCGCATTGCCGAGCTGGAGATGACGCTTTTCCTCATACATGTGAGTTGGGCTTGGGGCATCCTAACACCCTCCTCCTCCCTTCTCCATTCAGAGCCCAGGGTACATCTGTGGCCCCATCACTTGCCCTTCCCCCTCAGCCCTGCCCCTGCCCTCAAACCCTGGCTGTCTCCTCTTTTGGTCTAGTCCACTCATCACCTATTGGTGCCCCGTTAACCATCCCTCCCAACTCCACACCTAGTGGTAAAGGGATAGAGTGCATGAGGGTAGGGTTTTGTAGAAATGAGTTATGGGTAAGGTCTAAACCAAGGGAAAAAAGCGCTGATGGAGTGGTTTCAGACCCAGTAAAGAGTTAAAAGAGGAGCCAGAAGTAAATTCCTTGGGGCACCTGAAATTCCACTCCTAGTCACTTACAGCAACCCTCCCCCCCTCCCTTCTACTCCCTACTGAGCTCACATCATCCTCCTTTCTCAGATGCTGGAAAATTTCAGATTTGAGATCCAACATCTCAGGGACGTGGACACCACATTTAACCTCATCCTGATGCCCAACAAACCTATCTCCCTCACCATCTGGCCCCTCAACCAGGACCTGCTCCAGGCGTAATGGAGGCATCAGGCCAGCTGTGATGTAGGAGGAAGGCCTGGGGACGGGGTAGGGCCTTGGCATCTCCAGTCCTCTGCCCCACACTCCCTTTCTTCCCAGCTGCATCTGACCAGGAAGCAGCCCTTGTGTGGATGGATTTGGCTTTCACTGGTCAACTTTCTTGGCTCTGCTGGGACACTCCTCCATCCCTTTACCTTTTTCCCCCTCCTTTGCCATTTCAGGAAGACAATAAACAACTGTAGTATGCGAAATGTTTTCATTTATATCTGATCCCTATGGTAGTTCTCGTCTTGTGGTGAGGGTTGCTGATCCTGGGCTAACAGTATGACTCAGGCCTGGACGGGAGACTGGACATTGGATGGGAGACATCACTTTTTTTAAAAATGTTTTATAGTGAATTCTGTGATAGTTTACATGGGAGAACATTAGCTTTACATTCATCCTATTGTATATCGTTTCATTGCCATGGTTACAATCCCCTCCATGCATCATTAACCAACCAAATGGTATACCCTGCAAGCCTGTCCCCTGGTCGTCAGCGCACAGGCCTTCTCACTCTCTGGGTCTAGAGTCCCCAGCCACTCCATCTCTTCACGTTATCGTCTCTGCCTCCATCTCTGACATCACTGGTTCTCTGGGTAGGGTCCGCTCTTCTCCCTTGATGGTCCCAGGGACCTCTGCTCCTGGAATGCAAATCAACCACACCCCTCCTTTTGCTACAAAATGTCTACTTTTACATTTCCAATTCTCACAGTCAGTCCTGATAATAATTATTCGCTTCTATATCACAAGTGACCTATCCTCATCCCCTTTCATCAGCTCCGCCCAGACAGATTGGATACTACTCAGTGGAGATTCTACCTTTCTCCGCACCCTCTGGATCTAGGCTCCCTCTTGAAAACTTGTAAGCCAGTCACTTCTTGCCTTTGTAGCCCCCATTTTGGGTAGTCAATGTCCAAGTTGCCCATCCCTGTCTACCCTGTGTATGAGGAAGTGGGGATGATCCTTGCTGTAAAGATTTGTTCCTTCTTTTGAGATACTACATCCATAGGTGTAGGTCAAATTCATCAAATTGTATCAGATTACTCTTTTTTCCCCTCTTCTTTCTTCTTCTAGTTGGAGACATCACATTTGAGGCCATCTCTGTACAACCAACTCCCCTTCTACAATTCAGGAGCCAGCAGGATCAACCTCTCTGGGGCTTCGGGAGGGGGAGGTAGAGAAGTTATAAGGTTTATTGTCACTGAATCAAGAGTGACTGAAGCATCAGACTGAGGAACATTAGAGCTGATGGGGTTCTGCTGAGAACAGAGTGATCTGAGAAGGGGGTCAATCCCGCTTCCTGGGTGCGCCTGCCTAGCAGTGTTGAGGCTTGACTTGACTGAACCTTGGGTGCGGATCCCGTGGAGCCCGAGAATTTCCTGCCAAGGCCCAGGCAGAGTCTTGGACAGGCCGATGTCTTGTGTTGTCAAGAGGCAGGGGTAAGATGACTGGCTCTGAGGGATAAGCTTCTGCCTCCATCAGCCTCATCTGATCCTTTTCTGGATTTGTCCCAGGTCTCCACTTCCTCTCCCAGAGGGACATGTCCACCTTCCTATCTCTGGGCAGTGGACAGAGAGACTTCAGAGAATCTCTGGAGCATTATTCAGACTGTCTGAAACGGGTCCCCAATTTCAGCCTCCTTAAGTCCTGGTGTGGCACTGTAGTCCTGGTGTGGCACTCGACCACACAAAGTCGGTTTGAACCGCAAGGTTGTGGTTCAAACTCATCAGTCACTTCTTGGATACCTTATACAGGGTCCCTATGAGTAGGAACTGACTCGATAGCACTTAACAACAACAACAAAGCCCCTCTAAAGGAGTCCTGGTACTAAGTGAAAGGTAGACAGTTCCAACCCACCACTGTTGTGTGGGAGGGAGCTGTGACAGTCTCCTTCCTGACAGCCTCGGGAACACTCCTAGGGTCACTACGAGTCAGAATTGACTTCATGGTAATGGCTTTGGTTTGGAACCTCTTTCTGAGTTCCAGAACTTTCATCCTGAGCAGTTGCTTGATCTTTCCTGACTGCTTCATCCCCTGAGACATGGGAGCCCCGCTGGCTTTGCCTCCTTTGGCAGAATCTGCAGGTTCTGTAGTGTCCACTTCTTGAGCTATCCTGCTTCCCCACCCCTACCCCCACATGCCCCTCTTCTTGTACTTTTCTCTTCTTTCTACCTACCTTCTCGTTACCAGGTGGGATTCACATTTGATTCAGAAATGTGAGGGCTGTAAAGGGCCCTACTGCTAAAGAGATTAAACTCTGCATGGGATAGGCAGGGAAACTGAAGCTGAGAGAAGTTGCTCAAATCGCCAAAGGTTACACAGCACACTTCCAGTTAAAATCAGGTTTCCTGACTCTCAGTCCCAGGCTCTTTCTTCTGTCCCCATCAGTGTTACATTTCTGTCACTGGCTATATTTGGCAACATTGCCAGTCCTATTTAATGATGTATTTAACACTAAGATGTTACTGATTGCCACAGGCAGATCTCAAGTCTGTCTCTTCCCCAGAGACAGATAACCAAGCTCTAAAGAAGGGATTTCAAGCATGATAGATGTTTTGGGGCAGGTGGAAAGTTCTAGTCTCCTTTCTTTTGGAGGTCTGGAAGGGACTATTTCCCCAGTTCCTGCTTCAGCAGGCATCATCTTCCCTATGACCTCTGGCTCTCTAAAGATGGTAGCTCCCAGGACAGACAGGTGATTATGAGTTGCAATAGAGTCAGCCCCAACACGAGTCCAGAGTGAGAACTGGGAGGAGGGATCTGGGGCTCCCAGGCTGCCTTATGCCAGGAAAGAAGCAGATACTCACTGAACCATAGCATTTAATAAAGTCGTTTTTAAGGGGTGGGATGACATTCCACAGTGGATGGGGGGGTGGAGGGGGGGCGGTGCCCTGATCCAGCACTCAGGTCTTCTGGAATTGACTGGTCTCCTTCTGGGAGGTTGAGGACTGGCTGGGGTGAATCTCTGAGCTGGGCAGTAATGGGTTCAGCTTTGATGGTCTCCTGTGGTCCTTGGAGTGTGTTGGGGCATTCTGTAGTTTGAAAAGAGAAGGGAGGTAAGTAGGTAGGTATAATTGTGCTCTGAGGCTGGGGGCACGACCCATTCTAGGGCATCTTGCCTGGCCAAGTCACACCTTGAGGATCCAAAGTCCAGTGTCAGACCCACCTCCTGACAGCAGGTTGAACCTAGTGTCCTGGTGTGCACAAAGCTCAGCAGGCATGTGCAAAGGCCCTGTGGCCCTTGCTAGTCCTCCATCCTTTCTCTTCTTCCTCTGGAGCCCCTGAACCACCAGCTATGAGCTTGGCTCAAGAACAGGGGAAATCAGGGTTTTTGTTTTGGGGAGCTGGTGGGTCCCTGGGGCTGAGATTGAGGGGCAGTTGTGAGCAGGCCTATTTGTTCTGGAGCAGCTAGCAATGTGTATCTCTGATAACAGGCTCCTGCCTGGGCAAGTTTGCCAAGTATGAGGGCAACAGTCTTGTTGTCCAAGAGGGGTGTGCTAAGAGGAGGAGCTTAGGTACCATTGAGGTGGGTGGGGACTTCCTTCTGAGTGGGCCACACACAAGCTACTCTGTATAGGAGCAAAGCCAGTCCTAAAGTACAGTCATTGCCAGAACATTCTAAAGATGCTCATATCCACAGCTGTCACAGTCCCCTTAGGCAGGTGGGGAAATTGAGACCCAGCGAGAGCTTTGGTTGGTAACAGCAGCAACTGGAGCCCAGATCTGACTCCCAGACCAAGAGCTGGCCCCCTGCATGGTTTTTTCAGGGCCCAGTGACTTGGGAGGCAGGTGGCTGCCAGTCCCACCCTCTGACCCCCCAGGAGCTCTTGTGAAGGTGTTACTCACAGGCAGGTCTGTAAAGATAGAGTTTGAGGTGTGTCTGAAGCCATACTCTTGTTCCTGCAGCCTCGTGGCTAAGTCCTGCTTCTCCTGTCCCCAGCGTCGGGCAGAGTCCTCTAACTGCAGAAAGGGAGACAGGAAGGGTCACTTGGTAGCAGAGCTCATACCTGAACCTAATTTCTAGGCAGAAAACAAAGCGCTGGGCCATGTGGGCTTGACACCGTCCCCAAAAAACTCAGATACGGCAGGAATGAGTGGGGCGGGGACCCCAAACGAAAGCCTAAGACACACATGGATCTTCCCTGATTTCCAACAGCATGCTGAACCTTGGCCCTGGTCATATTCAGAACCCTAAGCCTGGCCACAGGCTGAGCCCTGACTCGGTTCATCCTCTGAACACCGAGCCTGCTCACAGGCCCACAACCCTGAGGCTGCCCACAGCCTGAGCCTTGGTACTGGTGATCCTCTGAGCCCTGGGTAGATCTCTGAGTTTCACTTACCTGGCTTTCCAGGGCCAGGATCCGGCTCTGAGCTTGTTCCAGCTTGGCCAGGAGGTTAAGTTTGTCTGAGTTATTAGCGAGGACATCCTGTGGGCAAAGTGGAGACTTTGTGTATGGCCCCAGTCCAAGGCTGGGGCCGTGGACCTGTGATCTCAGATGGCCATGAGACACCGAGGGAGAAACCAGCCAGATCCTAGCTCCATACTAGGTGACCAATGATTGCAGAGTCTCAGACCTGGGCTGGACCCCCGCCTCCAGAAGCTCAGAACCAGGCTGGAATGGATTTGTCTTACAGCTGTTCTCCCCACAGAGTTTCAATATATGAAGTTTTTACATTTTGATTAAAAAATTGTGAAATGCACCAGGGAGTTCTTTTTGACACACAGAAGGGACTCCTGACCGGAGAGTCATTTTGTAACATGAAGAATCCATTTGCAAAGAGAGCGTTCCCCTACCCCTTGCATTTTATCTGGAGATCCATGATCAGGTTTGTTTTTCAAACAGAACTCACCTCCGGAGGGTCACGGATGAAGAGAAAAACTCTCCTGGACCCTGCCCACCACTCTTCTGCAGGTTTGCCTAAAGCAGGAGGCACCTGTAACAGCCTTGGAAGTGGAGTGGGGCAGGGCGTTTCCGAGGCCTGAGGCACCCACCTGTCTGGGCAGGGTCTCTGTGTACTTGGAGTGGTTTGGCCCATCTGTCTCTCGAAGGCTCTCAGCCAAGTCTCCTCCTGCTCCCAACTCCCTGGGGTCCACCTGGGATGGGGAAAAGGGCTCTCCAAGGCTGTATGAATCCAGGCTGAGGGGCAGGCCAGCCAGGTAGCCAAAAGGATCAGGGGTCAGTCAAAAGGGCCAGTAAAAACCAAATGAGTTGCCAGCAAGTGCTGTCATGATTCTGACTCATGCCATCCCATGTGTTCCAGAGTAGAACTGAGCCTCATAGGAAATGACCGCGGCCTTTTAGGAGTAGGTCTTCAGGTCTTTCTTCTGAGGTGCCTCTGGGTAGAATCAAACTGCCAACGTTCTGGCTAGTAGCTAAGTGTTTAACAGTTTGCCTTACCCAGAAATTCCTAAGGGGCTTGCTTGCTCCCAGGATGACAGATGAGGGTAAAGGTAAAGCTTACAGATGTACGTGTTCCCCAGGAGAAAAAGAGCAAGGCCTGAGAGCTAGGACTTCAAGAGACTTCAGACAAATGGGAGACCCTGGCAAGCCTAATTCCTGGTCTTGATCTTCAACTTGAACCCTGCTGCGGGTGATTGCTGGGTACCCTGGGGACTAAGGGATGTCCTGGCAGCTCTTACCGGAAGGGCCTGCTGCTGCAGAATGATGGGAGCCGGCTGGTGGCGAGTTTTATCCAGTTCTGCCCGCAGCCTTGAGTTTTCAGTCAGTAGCACCGAGTAAAGGTCACCAGGCAAGTTCTCTCTCACAGAACCCAGGGGAAGGCCAGAGGCTGAGAGTGTGGGGAAGGCTGCAGACGTGGCCACAGATATTCATGAGGTGGATTTTCTGACCTCAGCATTTGCTCCCATGCTACTTTCCCTTTGCTCACACGCTTTCAATGGCTCCCAACTACCAGTGGAATCTCATCTACTGTCTTCAGTCAATCCTTTAGCTCTTCAGAATCTGACCCCTAGTTCTCCCTAGCCATCCCGCCCTGACTGTGCAGTTCACTTCTTCTCAGTTTCCCCTTCCTCTGTGGTCTGCACACTCTTCTCTCTCCTGGTCTTTGCCTCCCTGTTTCTCCTCCCCAGTTGTCTTTTTCTCACCCAGGGTTCTGGAAATGTAGGGCTCAGGCTTTTCTGCTTTCTAAAGGCCTCCAGAAACAGCCTGTCCCCAGGAGCTCTATTTGTCCTTCCTCCCCAACCCTTCTGAACTTTGTGTTTGGGTAAAAGCTGTACTTTTGATCTTAAATGGTTAACCATTCCATGGTATGTGTGCCTTATAAATGTTGGTTGGCTGAAAACTGAGGCATGAGGGTGAATTCAGTTCCAGATCCTGGGTGACCAAGACTTATAGAGTTCTACCAGTTTCTACTTGACCAGGAAGTCTGGTCTTTTTATTTGAATTTTTTAGAATTTAGAATTTTGTTCCACATTTTCTCCCACTCTCTCCAGGATGTCGTAATAAGAATCCTTCAGAGAAGCTGGTAGTGGTAGCCAGCATCATGTAGTTCTTCTGGTCTCAGGGTCATGGAGATGAACGTTCATGTGGCCCATTAACCCACTGCACTATTTGTTTCCAAGCGCACCTTCTTTCCTCCGGAGAGAGAGAGCCTCTCAAGAGTTTAAAGATCCCAGACACCACTCACCAAAGTAGGATGTAGAACATTGTCTTTGAGGACTATGTTAAGCCAATTGACCATAGTGTCCTCCCAGACTATTGTCCTGAGTCCCCAGGCCCAGGCTCGTTCCCTCAAGGTGTTTGCTTGTGTCTAAGAAGTTTTCAAAACTCTGTCCCCTTGTATGCTCTACCACATCACAGATATATTTGCAGCAAAGGTATACAGCTGTCTACAAATATCCTGTCAAATCTTTATATATTTGTGGATATATACACACCCATTGAGCCTGAGTGTCTAGTCACACATCTACCTTGTACATAAATCATTGTTATGAGGCAGACTCTTTTATTTACTCATTTATTTTCCTAATAGTATCTTCTCCCCACCCCAGTTCATTTTTTCTCTAAATTTCATTGATTTTGTTGTTGTTGAGAATATGCACGATAAACCACACACCAATCCAACCATTTCTGCGTGTAAAATTCTGTGACACTGATTAGATTCTTTGAGATGTGCAACTGTTCTCTGAGTTGTTTCTCCTTCACTGACATCAACTCATTGTCCCCAAAGGTTCCTATCAAATCTTCGGAGTTGCTGTCGTCTGTTTGATCCCATATAAATAGTTCTTAAAAGAGCATAATGCTCAAGGCATACTTTTAGCAAAACTATTTTAAGATGACTACAGGGGATATTTTTGGTTTAAGGTTTAAAGATGACCTCAGAGCAATAATTTCAGGGTTTTATCAACTCTCGATAGCTCCAGAAAATCTGGAGTCTATGAGAATTTGAAATTCCGTTCTGCATTTCCTCTCTTTTGATGAGGACTTTTTAATGGAATCTTTGATCAAAATGTTCAGTCATGGTAGTTGGGAGCCATTCAATTCTTCTACACTCCTGACAAAGGAGGCAGTTGCTCAGAGAGGCAGAATCCTTTAAGACACGGGGTTATGAGGAAAGAATTCAAAGGGTCCTGGAGTGAAGAAGTTGGGCATTTTTGAGCCAGGCAGCCTTCTCCTACCCTCCCTGAACTCCAGTCTGCCCTGGCCCACCCTGGAAGACTGAGTTCTTTTCTAGCCTGGCATTTGACACACACTGTTCTGAGGGACTCCCGGATAGGAGGGAAGGTGCTCAGAGGACCTCTGGAAGCACTAGGTGGTCAGAATGAATCGGGGAATAGCGCTTTTTGGGTCTCTTAGATCCATAGATAGAACTGCTTTTGTGAGGCACCCTATTAGCAGGCTGTCCTGAAGCTGAGAAGCTCATTGAAGGCAGGACCTCCAGGAACTCACCTACAGTGGGCTTTCCCTGCAGCCTGTTCAGGTGGGGCTCATTCCTGTCCCGCAGTTTGTCCTCTAGGACCCGTTCCATCTTCTCGATCACCTGGAAGGCAGAGGACAGAGGCTGGGCTGGCTTCAGGTCTCCATACTTTCCAGCCACAGCTGGGTCCTGGCAGTCTGGCCTGTGGCAGGCTGGCAGCTCTGGCACCAACCTTTTCCTGGTGCCTCACAGTCTCCTCCAGGGCCTTCACCTTCTGCAGCCTGTCCTGGTAACTTCTCAGCAGCACAACCTGGGGCTGCTGAGCCTGGTACCAAAGGAGCAACTCCTTTTCTCGGTCATTCTTCTGAAGGGAAGGAGAATGGTACCTGGGCATCATCCTTGGCCCTGGGGATCCACCCTAGACCCCTTTTCCTTCTACTTCCTCTTTCCCTTTAGATGCCCCCACCCTAACTTCCCTCTTGTTCCCCTCGTTCCCTGCCCTTCAAGCCCCAACTCACTCGAATCAGCTCATTCTGCAAATGCTGCACCTTGTCCCTCAGCTTCTTCATATCCACCTCACTCAGCAGCAGTTTCTGCCTCATGGACACTGTGTTGGAGGCCAGGGGTGGGGACAGCTGGCTCAGGGAGGAGGCCTGTCCTGGCTCAAACCAGTAGAGCTATGGGGCCAAGTGTTTCTCAGCTCTAGAGCTTGAGACAAGGTTGGATTCCCATGTGTTGTGGTTTGAATTGTGTCTTTCCAAAAGATGTGTTCAAGTCCTAATCCCTGGGACCCGTGACTGTGAATTTATTTGGAAACAGGGTCTTGGCAAATGTCATTAAGTAAACATGAAGCTATACTGGATTAGGATGAGCCCTAAATCCAATGACTGGTGTCATCATCAAGAGAGGGAGTCTTAGATACAAACAGAAATGACCATATGAAGACAGAGGCAGACAGTGGAGTGATGCAGTTAACAACCAAGAGATACCAAAGATTGCCGGCAACCGCCAAAAGCTAGGAAGAGGCAAGGAAGGATTCTTCCCTAGAGCCTCTGGAGGGAGTGTAGCCCTACTGACACCTTGATACTGGACTCCAAGCCTCTAAAATTGTGAGAGAATAAGATTTTGTTTTTGTAAGCTACCCTGTTTATGGTGCTTTGCTATGGCAATGCTAGGAAGCCAATATATCATCCTTGTGAGGACCTGGTCAGGTACGGACTAAGTGTGTGTGTGTGTGTCCCCACCAGCCTGAGTTGAGTACTTGGAAAGGCTATCTTTCTCCCTCTCCTATGATCCAGAGTGATGGCCCAGTTTGGAGTCCAAAAATGCCTTTAGTAGCCTGTATGTCCTCACCCAGGTTCTGGACCACCTCACGTTTGTCCAGCTCTTCCTCTGCCTCCTCCAGGTTCAGGTGACTCCTCAGCATGTGGTTCTCAGTTTCCAGAATGCTGGCCTGCTTCCGCAGTGCGAGGATGTCCTCAGCCATCTTCTGCATGGCCCGCCGGTAGTTGTTCATCTCCTGTGGCCCCAGAGCCAGAGGTGAGCCTCCACCCCACACCTGCACCCACACCTGGAAGTCAGTGAGCCATCCCAGGGCTAATGAGCTCCAGGATCCCCAAGCTGGGTCCCTGTCTTAGCAACTTCCGGAATGGGTGGTTATGATTTGTATTAACCCCTGGGGATGGGCCTGTTGACCAAGCAAGAACATCTGAGCACATATTCACTCCTGGGGGAGCTTCCATGGTACTAACTCAGGGAGGCCTCAGGGCCCAGGCACCAGATGAAGAAGCCTATGAGCAATAGAAACATGGAAGGACCAGGGGCCAGGTTTCCAGACTCTAGCTAAGTCATAACCACTTCTTTATTTTTCTCATTTCCTAATTTCTTCTCCTCTCTGAGGTCACTGGGAACCCAAGGAAGAATCTCTCTGAAATTCCACCAATGCCACTTGCGAACTGACTTCAGGCACCAGTCTCTAACTGTCCCAAGGGCCAGGAGGAGACACAGGTAGGTCCAGAAGACCCAGTGTTAAGTTTGTGATTCAGCAGAGAGATCTGGGATGTGAGGTTGGGGGCCAGGAAGCTGGACTCTCATTAAACTGGAAATGACAGTGATCCCCTCTTTGATGTTTGTTGAACATTTATATATTCCAGGTTCCCCCTAAGGGCTTTATGTGCCCTAGCTCACCCAGTTCTCACAATAAACTGATGGGGTAAGTATTATTACTATCCCCATTTTACAGATGAGGAAATCAAGGTCCAGAGAGGCTAGTAACATGCTTCATTACAAAACTAATGAGTAGCAGAGCCAGAGCTTGACATCCAGGCAGGCTGGAGTGTGAGTCTGTGTTCTCAAGCCTGTATAGTCCTGCCTCAATGTCCCCTCCGCCCCTGAATACCTTTCAGGCTTTAACCTTCTTGTTTCAGAAGGGAGTTCAAACAATATATTGTGAAGTGATAAAAGCAGGCTACCAAAAAGAATGAACAAATGAGTCTCTACGACTCTGAGATCAGAAGAACTAGATGGTGCCCTGAAAGGAATCACATTAGAGGATCCCGGATAGAGTGGGAGAAAATGTGGAGCAAAACTCAAAATTATTTAATAATCATAATAAAAGACCAGGCTTACTGGTCAGAAAGAGACTGGAAGAGACTATGACTCTGGACCACACTTCAGGTCTGGAATGGAACACACCCTTCTTGCCCAATTTTCAGCCAAGTAGTAGATAGATACATAGAGGGGACAACAACACTACTAAGGTAGGCTCACCATGGAAAGGTCAGTCAGTCAAAATCAAAAGGGCAACATACGCCTAGGGACAAAGTTGAGAAGGGACAGGAAGGTGGGTAGAACAGAAATAGGAACAATAGGGAGGAGTCAGATATTTGTTGTTGCGTGGATGGGATTGTAATCATTGGGATGAAACACAGCGTATGATTTGTTGAACGTAAAGCTGATGATCTTGTCTGTAAACCTTCACTTAATTCACAATAAAAAGTTAAAAAAACTATCAACCCAATTTTAAGGCTTAAAAAATAAATAAATAAAAGAATGATTAATTGTGTTCCAATTTGGAAAACTTTCCATGTCCGCCTATACATGTTGCATAGAAAAATAAATAAGCTACATTTGCATGCATCTGTGTTATAATCAGAGATTCTCTTGAGCGAGTCATGAAAAAAGTCATAAAGGGAGTTTCTTAAATTTAAACTAGAAAAGTGGGGTGGGGGACCCAAGAAGTGATGTTAGACACACACATCTCAAGGGGGGAAGAAGAGGTGGGAACTAGGCTGAGGGTGGGGAAGGAGAGGAGGGAAGTGAGTCCAGCAGGCATTTACTAAAAAGCCCTGGTGACATGGTGGTTAAGCACTTGGCTGCTGGCTGAAAGGTCGGTGATTCGAACCCACCAGCCACTCCGGGAGAGAAAGATATGGCAATCTATGTCCATAGAGATTTACAGCTTTGGAAGCCCTGTGAGACAGTTCTACACTATCCTTTAGAATCGCTGTAAGTTGGCATAAACGAAATGGCAACAAGCTTTGGTCAAGGCATTTGTTGAGCTTTGGCATTTCATCCACTTTCTGAAGCTGTGGGGAGGCCCTGTACATGAGGGTGGGGTCTGCCAGGCGCCTAAACCCCCAGGAAGCAGAGCTCTGTCCCAGCCCCTACTGGACTTCATGCTGACTGGGGGATTGGCCCGGCTTCCAAACCCTGTTTCCCACCTGCTACACAGTGACTTCCTGGAGAGGGGTCCTAGACAGCGGGAGCTCATCAGACACCATTTGTCACCTGTTACTGCCTGGACTTCCTCTAACCAGTGCCAGTGTTGGTCTTGGTTCTTCCAGATATGCCCATCTGGTATCCCCAGACAGCACATTAACTAGGAAACTCAGTTCTAAGACTGCAGACACTTAGAGCTTTGTGGTCAGGTCCAGGTCACTTGGCCACTGACATTCTGTATGAGTGGGGATAGACTCCTTTACCTTTCTGAGCCCCAGACTCCCACAGAGCAGCTATGAGGTTGCTGAGAGGTGTGAGGCAGTTGGCATAGGGCTTTGCCCAGGGCAGGTATCATTTGGAGGTATAATTCTTATCCCATCCCATTTCGGTTCTAATGGCTGCTTCAATCAACAAGTCAGACCCTTTCTTCCTCCTTGCTGCTCCCAGGCACCTATACCCTTGTGATTTAAACTCTCAACTTATGGCAGCCCTCTTCCAGTACACAGTCAAGAGGAAGCACATGTTATTTTGGAAAAAGAAATCCATGCCCTTGCCTTCAAGTTTGGCTCAGACTCTGGACAATGGCAGCAGCATCCAAATAGACTTCTTGACTTCCAGAGTCATGTCTTAGACACACTCACGTCCAAGAAGGCATCTTCAAGGATGTCTACTGCAGTACAGTTCAAGCACCCTTAAACTCATCCTCTGAACTACAGGCAGTGGTTAAAAAGAATGACCTAGGTTTAATCATCTGGCATGGAGACATGCCCTGGCAATACTGTTAAATAAAAAAAGCATTTGGCAGATGAATATGATCCCATCCATAACTAGTGTGTGTGTGCATGTACATACATGTATGTATATACGAACAGTGAATAATTCTAGGTTTGGGGGTTGAAAAGGCATATTTGTTCATTTCTGATATTTGAATCTTCTACTGAGAATGTCTTTTTAATATTATTTATTTAGTTTGAAATAATTTAAACCTAAATAAATTGACGGCGGAGTCCTGGTGTGGTGTTGCAGGCTAATGGACTGGACTTCCAGGTTGGTTTGAACCTCAAGGTCGGCAGTTCAAAACTCACAAGCCGATCCTTGGAAACCCTATCCAGGGTCACTATGAGTCAGAACTGACTTGACGGCACTCAACAGCAACGTACCATATTCATGGACTGAAAGATATAATATAAAGAGTTAGCTTGCCTATAAATTGATTAATAGATTCAATGCAATCTCAACCAAAATCAAGCACTTTATGTGTATGGGTGGAACCAGACAAGCAGATTCAACAATAGATTAGAAGTGAAAAGGCAAGTACAGCCAAGAGATGTTTTATAGAGGAATAACATGCAAAGATTTGCTTTATCAGTTATCAAGACTTACTATAAAGCTACAGTAATTAAGACAGAGAAAAATTGGTACCAAGATGGGCATAGAGGCCAAAGAAACAGAACAGACAACACTTGACATGGAACACTATAAAGAACCAGAGAAAGGACTGTCATTTTAATCAATGTTCTTGCGTCAATTTGATACTCACATTGAAAAGGGGGGAAACTTGACTCCTATCCCACATCATAAGGTGCTTTGGGAGCGTAGTAGTTATGAGTTGGGCTGCTAACCTCAGGGTGAGCAGTTTGAAACTACCAACCATACCATGGGAGAAAGATGATGTTTTCTGCTCGTCTTTCTGAAGCTGTGGGGAGGCCCTGTACATGAGGGTGAATTTACAGCTTCTGAAACCTTATGCAGGGTCTCTATGAATGGGAACCAACTCCACAGCACATAACCCTACTCTCCAGCTCATATCATACACCAAAAATAAAATTCCAGATGAATTTGTAGATTGCACCATGAAAGGTAAAGCAAGAAGTCTTCTGGAAGAGAATGCATAAAAATATCTTCATGAATATGGGTAAGGGAAAGAGTTTTTAAAACAAGACACAAAAAACACAAACCAGAAAGAAAAGGAACAACTATACACTGAATACACTCATCCAAAGACATCAGTAAGAGGGTGAACTGGCAAGAGAAAGAACGGGAGAAACATTTATAACATACATAAAAGGTAATGCTTACAAATCAATAAGACAGATCAACTAATAGGCGAATGGGCAAGAGACCGGGAATTGGCACAAAA